TCTCCACTTGGTTATCTGCTAAGTCCTAGTTCCACAAACTAAACTTACTTCCCTGCCCATCTGGTGCTTCCACACTCCCTTAGCACCAAAGGGCAACAACACTCACCCACTTGCTTAAGGCATGCTTCCTCTCTGGTCAGCTCTCCCCAAACTCCCGTTAGATTGCAACCTGGGATGCAGGCTACTGTGTGCCGTGAACCTATTTGTGGTTTTCCTTCAAATATACATTTCTATTTTTACTAAGGTATAGCTGAACAATTCCTTATGAGTGCAGGAAATCCATAAAACTACTTGTAATAGAAAGTAATTAGTGGAGGTCCAGTGATGTAACCATTATGCCATCTGCTGGCCCCTATTCTTGCATTTTTTTATTATTCATTTATTTACTTAATTTCATTTGTTACTATTTTCTTAATTTGACCAGAGAGAGACTCAGAGAGCAAGAGAGAAAGGGAAAGCAAGAAAGCAAGTCGCCAGGTCCAGGACTGGAACTGCAGTCGGCCATGTGGGAATCCAGCACCATTAACCACCATACCACCTGCCAGCCCTCTCTTCTCACATTTTTAATACTTGATTTTTCATCTGTTATTTTTCATTAAAAGGTTGGTTGGTCCCTGGCTTATATTCCCCTTGTCATCTCTGCTGCTTTTAAGAACGGACAGTTTTGCTTCACATTTTCACATCCTATAGGAATTATCCTAGGTAAAGAACACAGTCAGCCTTCTAGATGGGGAAGAGTAGAGTTTAGGGCAGGGCATTATGAAGGAAGGAGCTCTGGGATAGCCAGACGCTCTGTGCTCTGACCCAGGCCTCCAAATGTACTCTCCTTGTTTGGATCAGCCTGCTCAGGAGTGCACCCGTGCAGTAGATGCGTTTCACCTGTGCACGCTGTGGGCAGCAGCCCAAAAACGCTCAACAGGCGACGTGTCTCAGAAGGCCTGTCTCAGCAGGTAGGTGTTTACCATGCGCCACGTAGCACTGAGTACTGCGTAGGTATAATTTTATCTTGTTGGATTTTTTTAACCCCATAGGGTAGGTGCTCTTATGGTATTTTACAATAAAGAAACAAAGACTTGGAGTTATAGAACTTGCCAGAGCTCAGTCACTGCACATGAAGGGCTTAAATCCAGGTCCTACAGCTGCAGGTCTCGTGTCCTTAACCTCAGCACTTGTCCTCTGTAAAAGGATGCTGTGAGAGCAGAGGCCTGTCTTTCAGCAGTGGAAAGAGAGGAGAGGGGGAACCAGCAGTTAGCGTAATGGCTATGTTGCTGGACTCCCACGTAGTCAACCGCGGTTTGTGTCCCGGACCTGGTGGCTTAAAACTCACGCTGGGCGCGTGTGCGTGCGTGCCCAAGATTCCGAGAGGAGAATGGAGGAGAAGGGATTGCGGCGTGACCATCCCCCCTGGGGAGTGATTTCTCGCTTTCTGTCTCTCTGTCTCTCTCTGTCTGTCTGGCGAGCGCATATGCCCTATAGTGAAAAACCTCTCAAAAAAAAAAAAAAAGAAAAAGAGGAGAGGTTATTTTCTCCCCAGCTTCTCAGGCCACCTAAAAAAAGACAAACTCGGATATGTCCAGATGCATCCTGTCATCAGCTCCTGTGGTCACAAGCTGAGGTGGGGTCAAGGGAAAATCAGGAAACAGACAGATGTGAGAGACTGCATGCAAGAATGGTTAATAGTTCCTCCTATAACTGACCAGTTAACGCTGTTCAGCTGGGATGGGTTGGCTGGTGTACATAGGCACTCTCTCTCCACCTCAGCACACCTCAACTCACAGTTTTTCATTATCCACAACCTTGATCCTTACCAGAACGGTAAACATTTCTAGAAACAGTTCCTTTATCACACCCTGGAGCAATCATTTATTAAGTACTTCCCAGATTTCACAGTTTCTAAAAATTAGCTCTGCCAAAGTAGGGACTTAATGTTTTCTCTGAGGATGAAAGGCTTCATTAGGAAGTGATCTTTTTTTTCTCACTTTCACATTGATTTTTCAGTTTCTGCTAAGAGCATTTTATTACACGGGCTAAAAGTAAAGGTGAACAACCCTGTCTTTGATTCTGAGGTAGGCCTAGACAGAAACCAGCTACAGGGAGAATTCAGCGCCCTGAATGGGGCCCTGTGGTGAACGCAGTGCCCCGGGGCTGGGAGGGACTGAGCAACCCCTCCAATCACCTCCATTGCTCTTCCTTAAGGAGAAACTTAATGTCACCCTACAGTGTCATATATTCTAATAGCTTCATTATTTTTATCACATTTTATGGCTAAAACTGTTCGTTACATAGCCAAGTTCATTCTCTTCCTCTCTTTTCTGTCCCTCCATCCCAACCCTCTGTTGTGGAGAGCCTGCAGTGTGGAGTTCCCTGTCTAAATGCAAGGATTGGTGAAGGTCACCCCCAAGGAAAAGACTGAAAATCACAACGGCAACTCACCTTGTCTTTTCTCTTTCTTAGTTATGCCATCCTTCTAAATTGTTTAGAGGAAACAGAGGAGCCAGATATTCATTGACCTCCAACCATGGACCAGAGCCTGCTAAGTATCTTGTAGAATAATTTTTTCCCATCTGATCTTGACAGCAACCTGCAGGGTACACACCAATAGTCTTGCATCTCCATTCTACATACAAGGAGGCACAGAGGGTTAAGTAACTTCACCAGGATCGGAGCTCTTCTTAACAAGTTTGAGATGTTCAATAAAACACTTCAGAAATCCACCATAAACCTAGAAACTCTGGTTTTTCTATCTACCTAGTTAACTTTAGTAACTCTTTCATTTCATGACTAAAGGTTTCCCGGATCCTCAGGCATGCTCCATGGACAACCCTCTGCATGGGGTGGGGTTATTAGCCCCCCAAGAGCCCTGTCCCATGGACTGGGCTGCCAGCTGGCATCCTTCATGACCTTGATTTCATCTCCAATTAGTTAGTTGTGCTATTAAGTTACTAAATATTTTGTGTATTTTACATGGAATAAAAAAAGTCCTAACATCAAATTAGTTTGGGGAAAAATGAGGATAACTGGAGTCAGATGTTTTTCTTTAGGACATCTTAGAACCTTTACAGTACTGGTATATATTGTGAATCCGCAAGAAAATTAAAACGGTCAGTGCTTCCTAAACTACTGGGGATACAGAATTTGCTTTGTCTATAGAGCATCTTACAGGTAGAGTGTGCTCTAAACCAGTGGTCCCCAACCTCTGTGGCCACAGGACAGTTTCTTAGAAGGCCATTTTTTCCAGTGGACCAGGGGTGGCGGGGATATGGGATGATTCAAAAGTATTACATTTATTGTGCACATTATTTCTATTATTACATTGTAGTATTTAATGCAGCATCGGTGGAAGCCCTGAGCTTGTTTTACTATAGCTAAACAGTCCCATCGGGGACTGCTATGAGAATCTGATGCTGCCATGGATCTGAGAGGAGGTGGAGCCCAGGCAGTAATGCCAGTGATGGGGAGTGGCTGTAAATACAGATGAGGCTTTGCCTGCTCACCTGTGCTCACTTTCTGTTGTGTAGCCTGTTGCCTAACAGACCACAGACCAGTACCAGTCCATGGTCTGGGAGTTGGGGACCCCTGCTCTAAATAACATTTTAAGAAATGCTGGCCTATGGGACCAGCAGTTATTGTAATGGCTATGTCGTTGGACTCCCACGTAGTCGACCGCGGTTCAAGTCCCAGACCCGGTGGCTTAAACTCATGCCGGGTGCGTGTGCGTGCGTGCCCAAGATCCCAAGAGGAGAATGGAGGAGAAGGGATTGCGGCGTGGCCATCCCCCCTGGGGGGTGATTTCTCGCTTTCTATCTCTCTGTCTCTGTCTGGCGAGCACATGCGCCCTATAGCAAAAACCTCTCCAAAAAAGAAAAGAAAAAGAAAAGAAATGCTAGCCTAAATCATTCTTAGGCTTTCAATTGAACTAAGTAAGTTGAAGGATCCTAAAATGTCTAAAACCCCTAATAGTCATTAATGGGATGAGTAAAGGGAGTCGGGGTAGTGAAGTAAGATCTTTGGCATTAGACTCCCCGGGCGCTCCACTTCTTAGGTGTCTTTTCTACATATTAGGTGCCTTGACTACGTAATAGGGATGGCTATGCCTACCTTGTGGGGTGCTATAGATCCTAAATCTGTCGGGGTGGTTGGTATAGGCCTGGCACAGAGCTGGCCCTCAACAGTGGGAGCTACCTCCTCCACCACCTGCCATGCACGTGTAGGTTCATCAGGGTCAAGATGGACTTTAGGTAATAAAACTGGTTCTGTATTTGGGGTTCCTACTAAATTAATAGATTTTTAGCTGCTCTTGTCACAAAAAATAAAAAGCTAACTGTATGATGAGTTAATTTGTTTCACACTATAATACCCATTTTACTGTCTATATGTAGTCCCAAATATTATGTTGTATACATTAAATACACAAATGCAATTTATTTGTTTATTTTTTAATCTGCCAGGAGAGGGTCATGCTGTAATCGTTTCTCCTCCATTTCTCTTTTTGGTATTTTGAGCATGCACACAGATACACCCAGCATGTTTTTCAGGCTATCAAGTCTGGGACTTGAACCATGCAGTCAGCCATGTAGGATACAGCTGACTTCACCACACCACCAGAGGGCCCTACAATTTATTTCTTAAAAACTATATTTAAAAAGAAAAAAAAAAAGAATGACTCTAGGGCAGCTGGCTTCATATGGTAAGGGTCAGCATCTTACAAAGGATTGTATTCTAAGTGCTTTTAAGTTCATTAATTTCTACTCAACAGAATTAACATGATGTTAGTGATGCCCAAACATATTCTGTCTAGACTGAGGAAAGAGAATTCTTCACCCAGGAAGGAAGCAATAATTGTCCTTGTTTTTGTCCTTTCTAGGAGGCTATTTGTAGAAAGCAGAATTTTCCAACGAAATTGTTCTCTTCCCTCTGAAGTTATTTTGGTGACTAGGAGGCACTCATGCCCTTTCTACAAATCTTCAAGAATACACTGAACTTGCCTCTGATTTCTTTAGGGTCTACGAGCACTCCCAGTGACTTGTGGTACAACTTCATTGAGCTGCCCTACCACGGAGAAAGCATCAGCATGCTGATCGCACTGCCAACTGAGAGCTCCACCCCTCTGTCAGCCATCATCCCACACATCAGCACCAAGACCATCGACAGCTGGATGAGCACCATGGTGCCCAAGAGGGTGCAGGTGATCCTGCCCAAGTGAGTAGTCCCTTTCTTCATCCAAGAAAAGCAGTAGGGTGGTTCACTCTGTAGCTGTTGTGTCAGATACCAGACAGCATGAAGCTAAAATAGGGCCCATCTATGAAGCCCATTTTATGTTGCAGAAATTGCATGGTGGGACTACCAGGCTGCACTTTTCTGACTGCTGTTTTCAATTGCTAGGCCTCTTGCATGTAAGACAATGATAATAAGAAAGGAGAGGAGGCAACCTTGGTCTCTGAACTTGATATGAGCCCAAGCTCTCCATGACATTGTGAAGGCTTTAACACGCCTTGTTCTGCTCATAGGGCTGAAAACACATGCATATTTTCACGTAGGGTAGGTGAAGTGTGATAAAATTTAGTGGAGTTTCATGTTGGATAAGGAGCTTCCTTTTAGTTATTTCTTAAGTCTTACCTAGAAGTTGCTGAAGATCTAAGTGGTAAGGAAATATTTTGAAACCACCCAGGCAGGATTCTCTCATACTCTTTCTATTATACCCAAAAAAGAAAATGTAGGTAGAACTTGAGCTTTCATGACTTGAGACTAAGAGGAAAGTAAACCCAAATTATGTATGAGTTCTAAGTTTCTAATAGGTCAGAGAATGCATTATTCAGACCTGTGAAGGAGACAGTGGATGTGGTCCCCTTTCTAATGAACTTTTAAATATTACTGTTCTCAAGACCAGCAGTTAGCGTAATGGCTATGTTGCTGGACTTCCACGTAGTCTACCCTGGTTCGCGTCCTAGACCCGGTGGCTTAAAACTCACGCCGGGCGCATGTGCATGCATGCCCAAGATCCTGAGAGGAGAACGGAGGAGAAGGGATTGTGGCATGGCCATCCCCCCGGGGGGTGATTTCTCGCTTTCTGTCTCTCTGTTTTTCCCTGTCTGTCTGGCGAGTGCACGCACCCTATACCAAAAACCTCTCCAAAAAAATAAAATTATATATATATATGTGTATATATATATATATATATACACATATATATATTACTGTTCTCTCACTAGCTAGGCCTCAGTGGTAGTGGAGAGTACTAATAGCTTTTGATTTTTCAGCCACTGAGGTAAATAACCAGAGTAACATATTCACAGTAAATATTAGTAAAGTAAGCCTCCGAAGAGGCTATGCTGGATATAAAGAAATAAGGAACCAGCAGTTAGCATAATGGCTATGCCACTGGACTCCCATGTAGTTGACCATGGTTCACGTCCCAGAACCGGTGGCTTAAAACTCATGCCGGGCGCATGTGTGTGCGTGCCCAAGATCCTGAGAGGCAAATGGAGGAGAAGGGATTGCGGCATGGCCATCCCCGCTGGGGGGTGATTTCTCGCTTTCTGCCTCTCTGTCTCTCTCTGTCTGTCTGGTGAGCACACGCGCCCTACAGTGAAAATCTCTGCAAAAAAAAAGAAATAACATGGTGGCGTCATAGGCCTTGGTAAGTGAGGCAGGTAAATCACCATTCTCGCCCACCCACGCTGTGAATCTGCGCTTCTCCTCTTGTTGCTCTTCCACAAACTGAGGGCAAATCTGGCAAAACATCCTCTGATGATAAATTTTAATATCTGACATTTACGTACATATGATTGAAGGCCAGATAGGCAACCAGTATCCAAGAGAACCATACGATATCCGAGTAATACCATGCCACCTATTCCTCATGTTTGTTTTTGTTTTAAGAATACAATGCTTTCAGAATCCCAATGTGAACAGGAATGTATCTCTTCTCTTTTGACCTGTTCCAATCCCAGGAAGGATGAAGGATCTTACAGCAGCCAAGATGATGGCTCTGTAGTCAGACATGAGAAAGAACTGTCGCTAGTCCAGGAACTTGCCAGCACTCCAAACCTCCACATCACTGTGAGAGAAAGTGCTTTTGTAGTTCTTCCTAAGTACTAGACTAGGGAGCCTGTGCTATGTAAGGGTGAGAGCATTTATGCTTGCCGTCACTGTGTGCTGTTGACTTCTCCCACTAAATGTTTGAGAGATGAGTTGTTCTATACTTATCTGGTATTTAAATTTTTGAGATTAAAATTTAAGATACAATTCAGATTGATGTTCAGCTCATACTTTAAAAAGAATCAGTTTGTAAACATGAACTGATTATGTCATTCTGTACCATGTATACCTAGTGGCTTTTTTCTCCTATATTCTGTTTTTCGCTAGGTTCACAGCTGTAGCACAAACAGACCTGAAGGAACCGCTGAAAGCACTCGGTATCACTGAGATGTTTGATCCATCAAAGGCAAATTTTGCAAAAATAACAAGTATGTTCAATTTAAAACGTACTCTTAAGCTCAAGAAGATGTCAGTTCTTTGTCTTTTAAATGTATATTAACCTCCTTCCAGAGAAAAGTCATGGCTTAAACATCATTTGCACTCCCATTTGTATTTTTTCCCTGAATAGTCAGAAAGGAGTTCATTACTGAACTGGGTCCATGGCCTGCTGGTTAAGGGAGTTGGATCCCACATGGCCAACCACGTGGTTCAAATCTTGACCCTGGCAACCAGAACAACACACTGGATATATGTGTAGGCACACTCCAAATCCCCACAGGATGGAGAAATGGAGGTGGAGGGATTGTAGCATGGCCACGCCTCCTCAGGGGGTGCTTTCTCCCTTTCCCCTTCTCTGACTCTGTCATTCTCTGGCAAGGGCACCTACCATCGGGCAAGTAAAAGAAAAAGAAAGCTTAGTTGGTTACCAACCTCAGTGGCATGCTAGTGCTAGTGAGCACGTGAGTACCTGTTCTGAGAATGCGCACAACTCCCCCGGTAAGACTGCAGCTCCAGAGATATTTTGATTTCTAAACCCCCATGACTCAGGCTCTAATCCCCAACCCAGCACCATTAACATCACCTTGGAGTTTGCTTAAAACGTACAATTTTTGGCCAACCCCTGGTGTGGTGATTAAGGCAGCTGGATCCCACATGGCCAACTGTGCAGTTTGAGTGCTGGACCTGGTTTCTTGAAAAACATGCCAAGCACATGTGCATGCCCAAAATCCTGAGCAAAGAATAGAGGAGAAGGGATTGTGGCATGGCCGTCTCTCCCTACCTTCGCTTGGAAGCTATACCTAGCAGGTTTGGCTGGAATGGCCGTGGGTTGCTAAGAAGGAAAGTGCGAGCACTTGAAGTTTCCTGAGGTGCAACTGCATTTCTGCTCAGCCCTCCCTGAGAGTCTCAACACTTCTCACACGCAACACACACTTTGCTTCAGATGAATGGTGGTTATGAAAAAACAGCACTACTTTGCCACTAACCAGCCATATGAGTTGGAAGCAGATTTCTCAACACTCTGAGCCTCCGTTTCCCATCTTAAATGCTGTCTGAAACCCTTTCTGGGTCTAACATTCTGTAATTGAAGAATAACAATGTTGTCTTACATCTTCTGGAATACTGGGCTTCTTTTTCTTTTTCTTTTTTATTTATTTATTTATTTTTATTATTTTGCTATATTTGGTGGTGGGGCACTCAACAGAGAGAGACAGAGAGTGGGGGATCCCTAGGAGGATGGCCATGCCATAATGCCCTGCCCTCCAGTCTCCTTGGGATTTGGGCATGTATGCACACGTGCCCAGTGTCTCAAGCTGCTGGGTCTAGAGTTCAGAGTGGGGGATCCCTAGGAGGATGGCCATGCCATAATGCCCTGCCCTCCAGTCTCCTTGGGATTTGGGCACGTAGAGTTCAAACTGCACAGCCAGCCATGTGGGATCTAGTGCCCCAACCTTCATGCCACCTGTTAGCCTTGGGCTTCCTTTTTAAATCTCTGTTCTTTTCGTTTTTAAATAAAATTTTTAGTGACCAGAGTTGACTTGGTTGAAATACTAAAACATTTGAGGTGTTTGGCCCTTCCTCCCTGAAAGCAAGTATCACAGTTCACTTAGCAGAGATTGAAATTCAGGTGACAGCTGTCTTACAGCCCTCAGTCACTGAGTCTGTCAGAGGTCATGTCCTCTGACACATTTTAAGAATCGAAATTCGCCATTGTTTCAAAGCTGTTTTCCCACTCAGACAGTTGGGCTGCATGTCAGACAACTGCTGATGTTGTTTTATTTTCTGGACACAGGGTCAGAAAACCTTCATGTTTCTCAAATCTTGCAAAAAGCAAAAATTGAAGTCAGTGAAGATGGAACCAAAGCTTCCGCAGCAACAAGTAAGCATGGGGTCACACGGTGGGCTGGTTCCCATAGAGGGGTAAACAGGCTCCAGTTCAGTCATGGAGTTAGTGCATGTCGTAGACCCCATTTCCAGCTGGGCCCTGTGCATGGAGCCTCAGGAGACAGCGGTGAGCATGAACAGATGGATGACCTGCATCACAATACATGGTTTGTTTAACATTCCCGTGAGAGAAATTCCTTAGGACAGGTGTCTGCCAACTTTTATAAAGAACCCAAGAGTTTGCATTTTCCTTTTGTGGGCCATGTGGTCTGCAGCACAACTTTTCATCACTGCCATTGTGGCGTGAAAGCAGCCATGGACAAGTGAACAGGTGTGGCAGTGTTCCAGTCAAACCTCATTTATAAAGACAGGGTTCGACCCTGTGTTTGTCCTGAGGAAAGTAGTTTGCTGACTCCTCCTCTCAGGAAGATGAGGCACATTCTGACTTATTGGTAGGGAAAAAAAAAATCTTCAGATTGAAATACATTTGCATAGAAAAACATCAAAAATATGTCATGACTTTCCCAGCAACCTAATAAAATAATAGTACTCATGGGAAAATAGTCCATCTTGTCTACCCAGGATGAAGGGAAGAACTGCTGTAGGGTTGCTATGCAGCCTTCCTTGATAATTAAAACATCTAGGTCTGCTTTTTCTTCAGTGGTTTTTATATTGAAAGAGAGTACAACACAATCTAAAGTTGAGTTTTCCTCCCCTAATCAAACGTATGAGATTGAATGAATAGGTTGGGCTAAACTCTCTCAGTTCATATACTTATATCTGAGTCATATATTCTTGGTAATTAAAAGGTACCATTGATACCCACAATAGACACTTCCTTGCCTTTCTTGAATAAACATTTAGTTTTCAATTCCTTTGAAATAGCATTTAAACAAAGACCTAAAATGAGAGGGTTGGAATTTTTAAGATGACCTTTGTCTTTACTAGGTAAGTGTTAATGACATCTAAATTTTGCCAGAGTTAATTGACTAATTTTGCAAAGTTGTATAACTATCAAGATCAGCTACATAATTTGTGGGACCCTTTGCAAAACAAAAATATGGTGCCCCTTGTTCAAATTTCCTTAAGAATTTCTAAGCAACAATGGCAGAATACTAAACTATTGGGTTGTCAGAAAAGTCATGACGTATTTTTCAATGCAAAAATTTGTCATGACTTTTCCAGTGACCCAATAATTCCCAAACTCTATATAACTGTCCAGGTCCTGTTGTATCAGCCTATCCTGACCACCATGACAAAATACCAGAAGTTGGGTGGCTTAACCAGCAGAAATTTATTTTCTCACAGTTCTGGAGGCTGGAAGTCCAAGATCAAGGTGTCATCAGGCTTAGTTTCTCCTGAGGTCTCTTCCTCAGACAGAATTTCCACACTACATCCTCACATGTCCTTTTCTCTGTGTGTGCACTTCCTGGAGTCTGCCTCCTAATAAGGATACCGCTCCTGATGGATTAGGGCTCTACCCTTACAGTTTTCACTTAACATTGATTACCTTCAAAGAGCCCTATCTTTCTGGGAAAAGAAATGTAATAGACTGTAAAGTTACATGTGATTCAATGTAATATAAACAAGATTATGATAATAATGAATACATTTTTTTAAAAAAAGAGCCCTATCTTATAATACAGTCACATTAGAGCATTGGGGCTTCCACATATGAATTTTAGGGGTACATAACTCAGTCCTTAACATCTGCTGTTTGTTTTTCATAACCCTGGGTGGAGTAGTTTGCCCAGCACAACTGCAGGTGTTCCCTTTGTAACATTAAACTCAAGTTGTTAATGGTTTCCTGAGGTTGAGGAAGAAGACTGAGCCACTGCAGCAGGCATGTGGTTATCATCCCTCATACCTACCCTCCTTTGAGGCCTTGTCATGGGCTTGTTAAATGGAAGCCCCACCAGTAAGCACAGTATAGTAGGCATATCTAAGACCCATAAGCCTAGCGAAGTTTGCTTTTTAAGTCAGATGACTACACCTGATACATTAAACAGCAGTATAAGGTAGAGGTCCCAGAGGGGTCAATGTGCCAGTTCAGAGGAAACCTAAATGATGTGCCAAAGATGGCATAGACTAAAAATCTGAGAACTAAGTTGAGTCTTAATATAGAAAGGAGTTGGAGAGGCTCCAAAGGACCAGGGGGTTTCATCAGCAAGGCAGATGGTCTGAACAAAAAAATAGCTAGTAATGACAGTAAGTGTGCATTGGGTGTTTAGGAGCAAACACCTTGCTAAGAGCTATAGTATGTTATATGTTATAGGCCATTTAATCCTCATGAAAACTATTGGTGGTGGGGAGGCAACAGGTAGAATGGTGGTTAAGGTGTTAGTCTCCCATATGGCCAACAATGGTTCGAGTCTCAGACCTATTATTGGCTTGAAATTCACACTGGGCATGTATGAAAATCCCAGAAGTAGAGTGGAGGAGAAGGGATTGCAGCCTGGCCAGTACCCCTTTGGAAACCTTACATATATATATATATATATATATATATATATATGGAGTAAGGACATTTATTAGGGAAGATGGGCCTGTGTAGAATAAATGAAATGGTAAATAGGCCCTGTCCATGCTAAGTGCTCAGTAAATGGGAACTGCTAAGCCTGTTAGAACACATGTCCTCAAACACTGACACCCACAGGTTTGTCAGGCTGACTTCTTCCTTGCTGGTCTCACCCTAGATATATAACATATTTTCTTTTCCTTTCCGTAGCTGCAATTCTAATTGCGAGGTCGTCGCCTCCCTGGTTCATAGTAGACAGACCTTTTCTATTCTTCATCCGACATAATCCCACAGGTAAGTGATTGTCCTCTTCCATCCCTCGCTAAGTGTTAGAACTCAGGAAGGCATAGAACTACCATCATAGTTAGCCAACAGCATTGCCCTTGATCCATTTCCCTATTGTCAAGAATTGCAAACACAGAACACAACCACCCATGTTGAAGAGGTAGGACAATCAAGGACGTGTTTACAGAGTGTGACAGACTCTTAAACAATGACAAGGTTTTAGGTTGGAAGTTTTTGTTGTTAACACAGAGAGAGGCTCTGCATCTATTTGGGGTGCTTTTGAGATCTATTGATTTTCCCATATTTTTGTAAATGCAGTAATAGGCCCTGCATCACTTTAGGGTACTTTTGTGATCTATTGATTTTTCCATATTTTTGTAAATGCAGTAGTTAAATTTTTGTGAGAAACTACTTGTCTTCAATCTTTGTAAGCCCACTCTATTATTTTGAACTGGGAATTATTCATTCAATAGATCTTAGATCTGTGAGTCATGGGGTCAAACTTGACTCAGGCCTTTAGCTTCATCATTAAAATGAGGATAACAGTGTCTTCCTCATAGTGCAATTGTGAAGTAAAAGGCTGTTTTTGTGGAGAGGTTGGTTGGCTTCAAGTTGGTACAGAATAGGCACTAATACATTTTAGTGTTTCCTGTTTTTCTTTTTATTCAGTGATAGAAGATTCTTCCTTATCCCTGTCTCATTGCATCTTTAGTGTCTTAATTAGTGTGCTTCAGAGCTAAATAGTCCAATTTGGGAGCTCCTAGCTAATTTATTTAACCTTAATTTAAATAAATTAAAATAAAATATAATAAAAATTAAATTTCATAGTCCCACTAGCCATACAGCAAGTGCTCAGTAACCAGTAACTAGTGGCTACCATGTTGGACAGCCAAGAGTACATACCATTTCTATCACTGCAGAAAGTTCTAGTGAGCAGTTGGTTACCCTGGCTCCTTCCCTCCCCTTAAATAGAATACCTTTTATCTTATTTTAAGGATTGTTCTTTTACAGAGTCATGCATTGTTTCCTTTTAATTCTGTAGGTGCTGTCTTATTCATGGGGCAGATATACAAACCCTGAAGAGTATACAAAAGAAACCATGCAAAGCAGAGACTACTTTGCTATGAAGAAAAGACCCTCTTCCTACATCTTTCATAGTTCTGTTCAATATTTTTGTACATTGCTTTTTTTTCCCTCAAAAAAAAAAAACAAAAAAAAAACAGTTCTAAGGAACAGACTCAAAGATGCAAGCATTTCTATTCTGGGAAGTATTAGAAAAGAAAAAGGGGCAGGATGGCTAAAAAACACTGTACTGAGGAGTGACTAGAAAGGTTTCAAAATGTCTGAAAGATTCTTTAAACTACTGAACAGTTACCTAGGTTAACAACCCTCTTTAGTATTTGCTGTCTGTCCAGTTCAGGATTTTGTTTTGTTTTGTCTCTGTGTGGCTTTTCAGAAGAAATTTAATCAGTGTGACAGGAAAAAAAAAAAAAAAAAAAAAAATTTTATGGTAGCTTTTACTTTTTTATGAAAAAATATATTATTTACCTTTTTAATTCTTTTTCTCCACTCCCACCAAAGTCTTGATAGCGAGCATTACTTTGGGGGTAGAAGTAGTGAACTCTTTAGCCTCCTGTGTTTTTGTTGTTGTTGTTTTATATAATGCATGTATTCACTAAAATAAATTTTATAAACCTAATGTCTTGCTAGACAATGTTTGCTGTTGTGCAGTGTGTCTGTCACTACTGGTCTGTGCTCTTTGGATTTGCATTTTTGTATTTTGTACAAAATAAAAATAAAGTGTTATGAGTAGGAAAATAAATAAATAAATAAAAAGACATTTCTCTGCTATTTGCAAATACAAGAGGGTGAACCCCGTGACCTGGTAGTAAAGGGAACTGGATTTCACATGGCTGACTGTAGTTCGACTCCTGACTCCCGCAGGCTGAGAAACATGCTGGGCAAGCATACATGACCCAAATCCCAACAAGATGGAGAAATGGAAGAGAAAGGATTGTGATTTGACCATACCCAACTGGGGGTGCATTCTCTCTGTCCCTCTGTCTCTTTGGGGAGCATAAGTGTACTCGCAACTAAAAAAAAGAGAGAGAGAAGAAAGAAAATATAAGAAAAGAAACAGTCTTTTAAAACTGTATTGACCTCTCATAGTAAGCCTTTGCACTTAAGCAAACAGCAGGAAATTAAAAGCCCTGGACTTTTTCTACTTTTTTTTTCTGCAAACGACATTCAAACATTATTCCCTGCTTCAACATTTGTCAGTTTATAAATCACGTCAAAGGAGTAATCCGGTAATCCCACTTCTACTCTTAACTGCAGTTCACTTAAGCAAGAGCGAAGTATTCTCAGCAGAGTCTGCAAAGAAGAATTTGGTACAAATTCAGAAAGAAAGTGCTAATATATTTTAATATATTCATATTAATATATTTTGGTTATCTGAGGGAATAGTGAATGTTTCATTTTTGGTGATAGGTTAAAGTTTATTTTTTAAAATTATAATTTTGTTTGGTTTAGGGATAACTTTCCAAGTTAAACTCAGACATCAAAGTTCCAGTGTTTCCATTTGCCTGCTTTTTTAAGTCACTAGTTTCCTAAAGAGTTGCATATTCAGAATGGTGTAAACATTTCTTACAGAAACTTGAACACATTTTTTCTTTTTTCTTTTTTAAGCTATAACTCTACCCGTCACTATACATTAAAGCCTCTCATTCAATGGGGCTAGCAGATTGTGTAGTGGTTGCATTGCTGGATTTCTACATGGTCAGCTGAGGTTCAAGTCCTGGACCCAGTGGCTTGAAAATCACACCAGACACATGTGTGTGCATGCCCAAGATCCGGGAGGAGAATGGAGGAGAAGGGATTGTGGCATGGTCAACCCGCCTGGGAGGTGATTTCTCACTTTCCATTGTACTGTCTTTTTATCTTCCTTCCACCCCCCCCCAAGAGTACACATGCTCTAAAGCAAAAATAAATAAATAAATTCCCATTCCATATTCCACCAGTTTGCCATGTATAATTCTTATTTGTAAAGTGGGCTGAGCTTTGTTATTGATATTTGTAACTGAGGGCTTCAAAAGTTCATTAAAATGCATACTATGAAAAAATTCAAAAAAAGTTGTGACAAAATAAACTTGCACTTTAAATTTTAGTTTCCACAAGCTTTGTGATGCCCCTTTGTATTTAAATATGTAGACTTAGATTAACCGAGAGAGAGAGGAGACAGGGGACAGCTGTTTTCCTTATTCAGGAGTGAAAGTCGGAAAATTACTTTGAAGGACTTCTTCAGGCTACATACAAAGGGATTTCAGGAGAGTTTGTGAGGGAGTTGGACCATGGCACAGTGACAAAACGCTACAGTCTGTGAGGCAGACCCACGTAGGAAGGACGCAGTTCCTGTCTGTAGAGCTACCTGTTTATGCCCCACATCCATGCCCATGATCTGGGCTGACTGAAGCAGGAAGTATTGTCTCTCTCTCTCAGAATAAATAAGCTTATTTTTTCAATGATGAAAAAAATATTATTACAATTTCAGAGCAAAAATTTTGAAACCCATGCTTAGTTTTCCATCATATATATTTTCCATGAACTTTGTGAAGACCACCTCTCCCCATATTTTAGAGCCAGTTTTATAGGGTTTACCTATCTTCTACTCCAATTAAGTTACATTATTTTGAATTGTTTAAAACAGCAATAGTGGGGGACCAGCAGGCGGCATGGCAGTTAAAGGACTGGACACTCCCACATTGCTGACCATGGTTCGAGTCCTGGACCTGGTAGCTTGCTTTCTCACTTTCTCTCTGTCTCTGTCTCTCCAGTCAAATTTTTTTTAAATGAATAAATAATATTAAATAAATACATCCTAAAAATGGCAATAGTGTTAGCAGAAAATTATTATATACTCCATTCATTCAGTCAGTCAGTCATTTATTCACTTAAGTGCTGGTTTTCCAAAGAAACAGAACCAATAGAATTTAGAGAGTTGGAAAGCATCTGTAGAACCAGAGACGGTGTGGGAGGTGGGTGGGAAATGGCAGAGGATAAGGAGGGAACTAAGGGGGAAAAAAAGGGCAAAATATATAAGAAAAAATGGAAAATTATTTATTGACGATAATAAGTATGGTAATATCCTTGATTGAGCCAATATTCAGTGTATTCTGGATGGGAAAATTCAGTTTTGTATTCTGTAATGATGTACCGTGAATGAATGTAAAAGAGATAAATTTAAAATTAAACAAAATGTATATAGAGAGATGAATGAGAAGGGATTTATTATGGGAACCAGCTCATGTGATTATGAGGCCTGAGGAGTCCAATGAACTCTGCAAACTGGAGAACTAGGGAGGCTGGTGGCATCACTCAGTCTAAGTCCAAAGGCCTGAGGACCAGGGGTTGGGGGGTGAGGAGGGCAACAGTACAACTCTCAGTCCAAAGTCAAGGGACTGAGAGCCTAAGAGCCTCCAGTACAAGTCTAAAAACTGGATAAACTGGACTTCTGTTATCCCACGGCCGAAAATGGGTGTCCCAGCTCCAGAAGGGGCAGGGAGACAGAGTGCACAAATTCGCCTTTATCTGCCATTTTGTTCTTACCAGGATCTTGACTGATTGGATGGTGTTCGCTCACATTGGATGAGGACAGATCTTTACTCAGTCTACTGATTCAAATGCTATCTCTTCCTAAAATACCCTCATAGACATACCCAGAAATTATGCTTTACTAGCTATCTGGTATCCCTTATCCTAGTCAAGTTGACATCTAAAATTAACAATCACACATGCCTACGAGGTAATAACTACTAGAGGGTTCAGCGATAAATATGTCCTTTCCCTAAGTAGATTAATCGTAGAAGAGAGAGGTGGTCATAACAGTAAGTTACGTTGCTATTGCAAGTATGTTTACAGGATATGGAAATAGGACAAAGTTGCTGTGAGTACAAAAGAGGAGACATAGAAGTGTGCCTACACGGTCAGAGATCCCCAGGGTTCTGACTCTAGCAGTGCTCATTCCAGAAAGGAGCGGGAGAGTTTGCCAGAGCTACTGTTACGTGATACAAGTGGGCTGCTCCCCAGTACTATATTGGTTACATTTCACTGGTCACCTTATCTGGTTCCATTTCTGAGTACCTCTGCGATTATAGTAAAGGTTTACATTTATTCCATGCAGAACTTGGAAAAGATCTTAGTTGGATTCTGAGGCTATATCCTCTGTTTACATTTGATCCTCCAACTTACTCATGTTTACCCTCAGCACGCAGCATCCAGATTCTGATCCTGACTGATTTTAGAACCCGTTTATTTATAATCTCTGTACTGGGGAGAGAGTTCCTCTCAAATTATCTTTTTAATGTCGTTCAACTTTTCTATTTTGATATACATGAGTCAATGATGTTGTAGGCCTTGTCTTTTTCAAAAAGATCAAAGTTATAAAAACTTTCTTTGAGACCAGCAGTTAGCATAATGGCTATGTTGCTGGACTCCCACGTAGTCGACAGCAGTTTGCGTCCTGGACCCGGTGGCTTAAAACTCATGCCGGGCACGTGTGTGTGCGTGCCCAAGGTCCTGAGAGGAGGATGGAGGAGAAGGGATTGCGGCGTGGCCATCCCCCCTGGGAGGTGATTTCTCACTTTCTGTCTCTCTGTCTCTCTCTGTCTGTCTGGCGAGCACACGCGCCCTATTGCAAAAACCTCTCCAAAATAAATAAATAAATAAATAAAAACTTTCTTTGAGGAAAACAAATTTATGACATAGAGACTACCACAAAAATTACAGGCCTAGGGGAGATAGGTTTTTCTATGGGGGCATATTTGAGCAAACAATTTATCTTACAGACATCAGTTTGAGTAAAAGGCTACAATTTTCCTAATGTAATAAAATGACAAATCTATGGAAAAAGCAAGGTGAACAACCAGTAAAATCATTCTATTGACATTTAAAGAGATGGGTGTAAAGAGACTTCAAAAAAATTGTGGGAAAGTGAATTAAAGCACAAACTGATTTTGGTGCAAAAAAATGTTGAAATCCGTAATTACTTTAAGTCTTGTGTTGTTGTTGTTTTGCCATAGGCATGTGAGCTTACCAGAGAGAGAGACAATGAGAATGAAAGTGAGAAATCACCTCTCAGAGGGGCTGGCTATGCCACAATCCCTTCTCCAGTCTCCTCTTGGGATTCTGGGCATGCACACACATGTGCCCAGCATGATCTTCAAGCCTCCAGGTCCAGAACTTGCACCATGGTTGACCATGTGGAAGTCCAACATCTAAACCACCATACCATCTACTGGCACCCATACCTAGTTTTTTATAATGCATATTTTTCATTAACTTTTTGAGAACCCTCATATTTTCAATTGTGACTGAGACACAATGGAAAAATAGATGCTGACCTAAATACACTGAAAGCTCTGTCATATTGGCCTTTGTCTTTGTCTTTGTACTGAAGAGGAGATAAAACATGTGACCTGCAAAATTCCCAGTCAAAACTCCCAGGAGTGGCCTTTGAATCAGTTAACTCTTTTCCTGACAATGAAAAGTTGAATGACATGTGAGTTCCACTTTGAGGGGGTCCAAGAAACTGAGGTGGGAATGGGGATTTGCTCTGAGCAGGCAGATTAGCAAACGCCTGCTTCCTATGGCTGATCAGTGGTGATAGCTGAGATGTTGAGGCCTCGGTAAGCTGGCAGGTGATATCTATGTCCTTGACCTGTGACTATTAAAAACAAAATGAACAACACTAAGGCCACTTTGGGAGGACAAAGACACCACTATCTTTAAACCCTCATTTCTTAGGAGATTTCCAAACCATCCTCATTTGATCCTCTCTCTC